TCCAGCACCATCCTGACGTCCTCCACCTCCCTGATGTAGGGCACCCGCAGCACCGCCGTGAACATCGGCAGCAGCCCCAGCTCCTCCAGCACCTCTCGCCTCTTGCTCGTGCAGATCACCAGCAGCTTCCGACCCTGGGGTGGTTCACTCATTACAACCCCATCCAATATAAAAATATCTATGTTATACATGATAAGAATTACAACACCGTTCCTCGAGCAGCCAAAGGCTAATAATACTAAACTCAATTTGTTGTGGCGCTTATAAACGTCATGTTGTTTACTGAGAATTAGTGCGGGGTATTAAATACAGCACATCATGTATATACTATTTATACTGCCTTTCTGTTAGGACCAGTTCTACCACTGACCTTAGGAGGCGAGGACGACAGAAGCGAGTACATGGCGTCGAGCACAATGGACTGGTAGCGCGGGCCTATGGGGGAGTAGCCCATCAGCTGTTCCAGGTCGTTCATGAAGATGCAGCTCAGCTCCGACCTATACGCGTCGTCAAACATCTGAAACGAAACCTTCACATTAGCAAGCAAGAACTTGGTACAACACTTGCGAATACAGTCAACTACCTCAAACAAAATAAAGATCACGGAAAGATAGCTAAACGTGAAAAATAACGCAAACCCTGATGGAAAGAGAAAAAAAAACATAAAACCTGAAAACTCAACAGATACTTTAGCCTTAAATAAACATTCAGTAATTATTAGGACCATAACAGACTTGGTCTGCTCGAACTTTATAGAATGTGAAATGCAAGCAACAATGATTGTAGTTGATCAAAATCAACTTTAGATCAAAATCAACTCTCGCCTCAGGAACGTTTTTATTTAGCGTTTTATGCCAGTTAAACGTTTGAATTTCCGTGACGAGAGCGCGCTAGCGTCATACCTATTGTCTAGTTACCGTGCCGGAGAACGAAACAGACGGTCACTGCATTCACTATTTATATGGTAATAAGCTTAGTAATGTGGTCCAATACATTGTTATTATTATGCATTAAATAAGACTGATGATCAGAATACATTTTCTGAATAATGAACATAATGTAAGAGATTAATGCGATTATGAGAGAAATTTTAGTTTAAAAGCATGTTAATATAATTGGACAATAAATGAAAAAACGTGGACAATATAAATTTATCGATAGAGGAAATTTCGCTTAACTGAATAAAGCTTCTTAAACAATAACTTTTTATGGATCTTATTCGGGATTTCTCAGACAAGTTGAGACAACTATAAGAAGAAAGAGATCAGAGGAACCAATGTGTTGAATTTAGAATTAGGAGAGCGGGTAGACGTTCCCGTAGCAGTGTGCAGATTCTCTGCGGACTTGCCTTGGGTTACGTGCAAGGATTTGTGAGTGTAATTCAGCAACTGCTGAGGTACGGATAATGTTCTAGTGTCATGTTTATATCCAACTGTATCTGTTGATACTGTTAATAGCACAAGCTCGCAAGATGCTCACCCTATCATGGTTCACGCTAGACTGCTGTCCCCAACAGCATTGCCGCCACCTTGCGTCACGTTACAGCCAGCCCACGCCACGTAGGCTACCGGCGCTCCCCGAACCAATCAGAGCGCAGCACAAAGCCATCTCACGACCAAACAAGCGTGACGTCACAACCATACGGCAACACCAGCGCAGACCAATCAGATATTAACAGATACTGTACCTATTATATCGTGTTCCTTAGGGTTATATTAATATGGTGTTTGTTGATGTTTAAACGACGATGTATGTTGATTGTTGAATGATGTTTTTGTTGATTTGCCGGTCATAAAAAGTAATAATTTCATTTGTGCAGTCGTGCAGTTGAGATTTCAGAGAAAATCTCAAGTATTGATCGAATTTACTGCTTCCTCTTACATATATAAATAAAGTTTAGGGTATAGGTAGCCTTGCAAACGGCACAAACCTGAGACAGCAAACGCGTACAAATATAAAAACACTATAATCTATAGATTATTGTAAAGATTCGTGAATTTACACATATATATAGGTGATATTTATTCATGCTGCAACTTTGTTGAGACATTACCTTTTTGATACGCAGGCACTTGGAGGACTCGGTGTACCCAACCATCTCGCTCGAGGTGATCACTTTGACGGAGGGGAAGTCGCTGTTCTTGGCGAGGTAAGCGGCCAGGGCCGATGTGCCCGCCGTAGGGGCGCCCTCCAGCAGCTGTCTCTTATACACATCTAGATGTGTATAAGAGACAGGGGTAAGGCCATTGATTGAGCATTCGAAGAGAGATTTCGCTATGAAGCATTTAGTTGATGCATACCGAAAGAATCACAGCATAACTAGGATGGATTACATCTAAACAATCCTTAATGTTATAAACGCCCGAGATCATGGCACCCAAGGAATTATGGTTATGCTGCCTGGCATCATAATTCTGTCCCTGATTTTATCACCGATTTGTGATGCTTTCTATACATTTCAATTTTCATTCGCGATCAGTTTCTCTGAACATTCAAAGTTACATACACTTATGTCAATGGCTTCAATTAAAAAATATTTTTATACAAATCTCGATTACAGATTTACTTAACTCTTCCATATTAGCGAAATGACTTTTCACACTACTTGAGAAGCTATTCACCTATCATCCTCCATCACGAATTCAGCAACTCAGAAGAAATTCAGTATCAAGCCCAAAGGTTGAGTTACACATGCTACAATTGCCTCTTGCAGCCACCTATAATGCCCCAACCGAAGCCCACTTATCAAAGATCACAAAACAGACGCTCAGCAACATGTCATGTCCCGTCCACTACTGAGCTCACTTCAGCAGAGGACATGGCCTGGGACTCCTCCAGCACCATCCTGACGTCCTCCACCTCCCTGATGTAGAGCACCCGCAGCACCTTCATCACCCCACAAATAAGTCACTAGGATCACCTCAGCAGAAGACATGGCCTGGGACTCCTCCAGCACCATCCTGACGTCCTCCACCTCCCTGATGTAGGGCACCCGCAGCACCTTCATCACCCCACAAATAAGTCACTAGGATCACCTCAGCAGA